AGTCCTACCTTTGTTCAGTCAGCCATATATACACTCCCTCTGCTGTCCCTCTTTGCTGGTTCCTCATCGTATTTCATCCTCCCCTGGCTCCTCATGACTTTTTCCCCTGATGTTTCCATGGTCCTGGTTAGTGTTCAATTTTTATCTTGGTTTTTTGGATTCCTGTTTTTGCTGCCTGATTTTTCATTAAACCTTCCAAGATCTCACCCCTGCCTCTCAGCTTCTGATTTTGGGTCCAAACAAAAACCTTAAAACCAACATGTGCTTAGCCACCCTGACACAAATATGGATTATCTTCATTTCATGTGCACTCATGAACTAATTTTAGTTGAAGCAGTGGCAGAGCATGTTGCTATTCCAGTGTCGATTCTAAGTGGCATAAGGCAACTGTGCAGTTTACTTAGACTTCAAGAGGAGACGGTAGAACCTCTATGTTGTGAAGTGGAGGCAGTGCATGGTGCCAAAGGACCACCTAACAGCTGCAGGAAAAGCTGCAAGACCTGATGGAGATGCAGTTGCCAATCCCGTGTATCACATAATTACTAGCAGTAGGGATGCACGATATCGGGATTTTGGCCGATATGCAGATATTATAAAAGTCATGTAGCCGATAACCGATATCGATACCGATGTTAAAGCTGGACAAAAATAAGTAGTCATTGAAAATAGCAGTTTTGTTATCCATTTCNTGGCACTGCTTAGGTGTTATGAGAGCCCAGGTTGCTCTGATAGTGGCCTTCAACTCTTCTGCGTTTTTGGGTCTGGCATTCTGCATCTTCCTTTTCACAATACCCCACAGATTTTCTATGGGGCTAAGGTCAGGGGAATTAGCTGGCCAATTTAGAACAGAAATACCATGGTCCATAAACCAGGCACGGGTAGATTTAGCGCTGTGTGCAGGCGCCAAGTCCTGCTGGAACCTGAAATCTCCAAACCCTACCTGGCAAACCCAGGTAGGTTTTGCCAGTCTTGCCTTGTGTCCCTAGCGCTCGTTGTGGGGCTCACAGTGGTCTCATCCTGAGCTTCATTTGCAATAAAATTAACAAAGTTGGTCAGGTCACTGTATAATTATTGGATGCTTCTTCTCATTAATCATAAAATGTACAAGTCTGTATTAGACTGCATCAAAAAATGTTACAACACTAATTAGAAGTATGAATCCCCCTACTCTGATGCCTGAAATGACATAAAACAATGTATATGACAGCAAAAATCCATCAACCCACATGCATGCTCTCTACCAACAGGAAGATAATAACAGGTTAGCGTGCTAGTTAGAGGTTAGCAAGCTAACCTTACTGTTTGCTGCTGGACCATTTATTGATGACCTCAACATAGCAACCAAATCAATGGCAGCTTTGCCCAATTAGCCCATGGCTACAAGCCTTATGTACTTGGACATCGGCCACCTGATTGGTTGCAATGTTTAATTGTATGGTCCCTGTCAAATAAACGAATAAATAAATAAATAAAAATTCCTCCTCAGAAATATAAAAAAGGTCAGATCAAAGAAAGATAAAAAAAATTATTCATAAAGAAAAGTAAACCACCCAATAAACCAATAGTTTAGCTCTTTACTATCTGCCATGTGTTCCAACTGGGACCTTTCATGTATTTGGTTGACAGTGGAAAAGCACACAAACAAAGATTAAACAAATAAACCGTGAAAAGAACTATAAACATTGAAATACATCAGTTAGCATCAGTTTGCATGATCACTGAAGCGCTTCAGTAGCTAACGCTAGCATGTAGCAATCCAGATTTTTCTCTCACTATGGCTCTGTTTGAAAACCTAGG